GAATAGAATAGAATAGAATAGAATAGAATAGAATAGAATAGAATAGAATACTTTATTGGCCAAGTGTGATTGGACACATTGGTGCAAATGCTCTCAGTGTACATTAAAGAAAAGATACATTCGTCAAGAGTCAAGAAAACACTTAATAATAATCATAGGATACAATAAGCCATCAAATCATACTAGGAAACAGTCAATATAAATCGTGAGGATACAAGCGACAAAGTTACAGTCATCCAGTCACAAGTGGGAGGGGATGGGTGATAAGGAGTGATGAGAAGGTTAATAGTAACAGTAGTGCAGACTTTGTAAATAGTTGGACAGTGTTGAGGGAATTACTTGTTTAGCAGAGTGATGGCGTTTGGGGAAAAATTGTCCTTGTGTCTAGTTGTTCTGGTGTGCAGTGCTCTGTAGCGTCGTTTTGAGGGAAGGAGTTGAAACAGTTTATGTCCGGGATGTGAGGGGTCCGTAATCAGTCTCCTCCCACTAACCCCTAGTAAGCCTCTAGTACAGGTGTCACCAAACTTAATAACTTTAAGACTTACGGAGTTCAACTCCCTCAATTCTGGGAGTTGAAGTCCATAAGTCTTAAAGTTGCCAAGTTTGGAGACCTCTGCCCTAGTATATAAACAGAGTGCAAATCCCACACTCCCTTCTAGCCCTGCTGATGTTACCTAGTTGGGTCATGAAACATCTGCAGGGAAACAGCCAAACTCAGAGAGCCTCAAGAACTCCACAGTGTGAAAATCCCAGATAAGCAGGGATTGACCCCCACACAAATAACGAAGCAGAAGACAATATTGTAATCAAGGAACTGCCAAGGGGAAAAATATTCTCATGCCAACACTAACAGGTTAGTCCACTTGTATACAAACAGAGAGCACTGCCCACTCCCTTGTGGCACTGATGACGTTACCCAGTTGGTAATGAAACGTCTGCAAGAAAACCACCAAGCTCAGAGCCCATAGTCCTTCTCTCTCCCCCCACCCCCCCGCTTCTCCTTCCTTTTCTTCCTCTCCACAAACTCCACACTCCCTTCTGGCACTGATGACGTTACCCAGTTGGTAACGATAATGATCTGCAAGAAAAGAGAGTTACCAAGGAGCCCACAAATTATAATCTACTGTAGGTCTATTCAAGGTAGTGAGTTAGAGTTAGCAGATTTTTAATTTTTTTTTTTAACGATAATAATTCTCTGTTGGCAAGACGGACATTGGTTTGACTTTCCAATTCCGCTAGAGAAGGTTCAACGGTAAACTTTTTAGAAAACCTTCCCTCTTCATCTCTGATTGCTGTTGGCTCCTGCTCGTTGGTCTCAGCAGCCCACCTGGCCAATAGTCCTTCCACCTTGGAGTCCTAGTCATTCAAGTATGAGCCAGCCGTGGGCTGCAGCTGCCAACACAGTTCTAGGCTGCATCAACAGAGGGATAGAATCAAGATCACCTGAAGTGTTGATACCACTTTATAAGGCCTTGGTAGTAAGGCCACACTTGGAATACTGCATCCAGTTTTGGTCGCCACGATGTAAAAAAAGATACCGAGACTCTGGAAAGAATGCAGAGAAGAGCAACAAAGAGAAATGAGGGGACTGGGGCTAAAACATAGGAAGAACGGTTGCAGGAACTGGGTCTGTCTAGTCTAATGAAAAGAAGGACCAGGGGAGACATGATAGCGGTCTTCCAGTGTCTCAGGGGTTGCCCCAAAGAAGAGGGAGTCAAGCTATTCTGCAAAGCATCTGAGAGCAGGACAGGAAGCCATGAATGGAAACGAATCAAGCAATTTAGAATTTAGGAGAAATTTCCTGGACTAGAAGACCTCCAAGGCCCCTTACAACTCTTGTTATTCTATTCTGTTCTATTCTATTCCATATTCTATATTCTATTCTATATTCTGTTCTGTTCTATATTCTCTACTCTACTCTACTCTACTCTACTCTACTCTACTCTACTCTACTCTACTCTACTCTACTCTATTCTATTCTATATTCCATTCTATTCTACATTCTATTCTATTCCATATTCTATTCTATCCTATATTCTGTTCTGTTCTATATTCTCTACTCTACTCTACTCTACTCTACTCTACTCTACTCTACTCTACTCTACTCTATTCTATTCTATATTCCATTCCATTCTACATTCTATTCTATTCCATATTCTATTCTATCCTATATTCTGTTCTGTTCTATATTCTCTACTCTACTCTACTCTACTCTACTCTACTCTACTCTACTCTACTCTATATTACATTCTATTCTACATTCTATTCTATTCCATATTCTATTCTATCCTATATTCTGTTCTATATTGTCTATTCTATTCTATTCTACTCCACTCTATTCTATTTTCTATTCTATTCTATTTTCTGTTCTGTTCTATTCTACTCTATTCTATTTTCTATTCTATTTTCTATTCTATTCTGTCCTACATTCTATTATATTCCATATTCTATATTCTATTCTAACCTATATTCTGTTCTCTATTCTATTCTACTCCATTCTATTTACTCTACTCTCTACTATACCCCTACCCCTACCCCTCTTCTAATCTTCCTGCCATCTTCTTTCTCTTTCCAGTGTCTCACCGGGAGGGCAAATTCAACTCCGAACTCTCCAAGTTGATGATCGTGGCCGAAAAATCCCACGACGAGCTCTGAGCCCCGTCCACTCCACCCGTGGGAGAAGACCTGCGGTGGGACCTCGGGTTGCTCTTGGTGGGGGGAACTCTTTGCGGATTCCGGGGCCCGCCCGAGCTCACCTTGAAGAAGAACACATTTGGGGAAGAAACACAAGCCGCGCATACGACCCTCGGAACTCGAGAGCTCCCTTCCACGGCGTTCTTCCCCGTGGCCTCGGTCGGTGTCGTGGGATGCGTGAGAAGTGAACCAGGATTACAGGATTACCGCCTCTCAGATCTGGTGCTGCAAAAAACTGATCGCCTCGGATCTGGCCGCCTCCCCTTGGAGCAGGATTTCGCCCGAGAGATTTGCAGAAAGTCGATCCCTTTGCAGGAATTGGTGCGCGCGTGTAATCTGCTCCGAAAAGTTTCCTTCCCTCTCCCCTCCTCTTCCCCCATAAATTGTTTGAATGGTCACACACACACACACCCCAAAAATCTCCCCCCCCTCCCCCGTGGAGATGGAGCAATCGTATGAATAAAAACAGATTTATATCCTTGACACTGTCGAGTTTCCCCCTGCCTTTTCAGCCTTGCTTCCAAAGAGGAGAAAATACAAGTTCACCACCGCCATGGAGACTCAACATTTCTGTGGCTAAGCAAGACATGTGTTAATTGAAGTGTCAACTCATAAAACATTCCTGTGCCTGTTTTAGTAGTTGCCATAGAAAAATGGGGGGGGAGGAAGGAAATCTGAAAGAGCAGTGCAGGAGACTAAAGCGAAAATACATTCCAACTCTTTATCTTTAAAAGGTTGTAACTAAACTACCAGAGCTTTTACCTACGAATATATATTTAATTGGAGAATGTGATTGATGACACCCAGCCAGTGAACGTGCTCAATTGGAGAATCTGATTTATGACACACCCGGGGGACCGGGGGGGGGGGGGGAAGAACAGGGCCACAGGGGATTGTAAATGACTTAGGCCAGAGTCGGCTTCACACAGGGCAGTGCCAGTATGTTGCCTCTAATAAATCCCTCGGAGTTTTTTGAAGTTTGGCTCGAGAATCTTGATTTAATTAGGGCAATTGCTGGAATCCTGACAACAAGCCAACTCTGGCATACGTAATTTGCCCTGTGTTACAGCCTTCCTTGCCACCACGATTTAAGCTCCTCGCCCGGTTGTTAAGTGAACCTGGCTGCCCCAATGACTTTGCTTGTCAGAAGGTTGCCAAAAGAGGATCAGCGGCCCTGTTTCCCCACACTTAATGGGGTGACTAACGGGGAATATCTTATGAGATTAATGAATAATAACCCATGCTGTACTCAAATAAGATGTTTTATTTGTTTTGTTAAAACTCAGTAAAACTTTATTAAAAAAAAAAAAAGTAAATGCGTAGTAGGGTAGAAAGGGAAAGAAATGAATTGAGTTCTGACTTTAATAATAGGAATGCTAATGCAACCCTAAGCTGCATTAACAGAGGGATGCAATTGAGATCAAAGGAGGGACTAATACCACTCTATAAAGCCTTAGTAAGACCACACCTAGAGTCCTGCATCCAGTTTTGGGCACCACACTATAAAAAAAGAGGTTGAGACTAGAAAAAGTGCAGAGAAGAGCAACCAGGATTAGGGGACTGGAGTTTAAAACATACAACGAACGGTTGCAGGAACTGGGCTTGTCTAGTCTAGTGAAGAGAAGGACCAGGGGAGACAGGAGAGCAGCCTTCCAATATTTGAGGAGCTGCCACAGAGAGGAGGGAAGTGGACAAGTTATTTTCCAAAGCACCCGAAGGCCAGACAAGGAATAATGGATGGAAACTGATCAAGGAGAGATTCAACCTGGAAATAAGGAGAAACTTTCTGACAGTGAGAACAATGAACCAATGGAACAGAAGTTGCCTTTGGAAGTTGTGGGAGCTTTATCACTGGAGGCTTTCAAGAAGAGATTGGACTGCCCTCTGTCAGAAATGGTGTAGGGTCTCCCGCTTGGGTGGGGGGTTGGACTAGATGACCTACAAGGTCCCTTCCAACTCTGATTATCTGTTATCATCTGTGGTCGTACGTCGAGGGCCCACCCATCTATTCACTTTTAAAGAATCTTCTGCACGAAGAAGACGTGAATCCTTCCTCTTGATATTTCTTTTCCTCTTATGCAACTCTTTGAGTAGCAGGCCTGGAAGACCGCACCATGGAGAAACAACCCTCACACACACTCACACACCTGTCAACATCGCAGCAAAACATTTCCTGCCCTGTTGAGTTTTCAATGACGCCAGCCGCCCTGGCTCGGTTTTTCCCTGGACCACGTTGCAAATAATAAACTTTTCCAAGAGGTTGACAAACAAGACCGACAGCTCCGCAAGTGGAGCGTCCCTCCCTGTCCAGGTTTCCGCCTCTGGCTTGGTCCCTCGCCTGCAGTGTGGTTGTTGGTTCATCACAAGGGTTGTGACACCAGCTGGGTTGCCAGCTGCTCCTTCCTATGAAGGCCTCTGGGGACAAAAAATCAAGCTGGAATTCCTGCCGCTGGTCTTCCTGATTTCCTGATTTCTGTGTTTAAACTTGCAAGACAAAGGATGTGTTGGATACGGAGCCTAAGAAATGCAGACTTCAACTCCCAGAGTTCCCTTGTCCACGCAGGAGAATTCTGGGAGTTGAAGTCCCCTTGCCACGCTTGTGAGCTATCCACTTCCCCTAGGTCCGTGATGGTGAACTTATGGCACGCATGTTGGAAGTGGCACGCAGAGCCAGTTCTGCTGGCACACTAGAGGTCCCCCGGAAGAGCCCCACTGTGCATGCAGTGCGCCCCCCACCAGCCAATGGATTGTCAGGAGATGCGCAGAGGTGTGCAGCACATGAGGCTTGTGCGTGCATGCGCAGAGGTGCGCGGTGCATGCGCGCATGGGCACTCACTTTCGACACGCAACGAGGAAAAGGTTAGCCATCACCGCCCGAAGCCAGTGTGTGCCTGAAAGCATGATCCAAGGACTCCCGGGTCCAACCAGGCTACAGATTCACTTAACAACCACGCCGATTCATTTAATGTCCATCGCCAAAAAAGGTCATAACATCCAGCCCAACACACAACCAGTCTTTATTTTATGTGCTATAACCGGGATGGTCCTGGAAGCATGATCCACAGATCTCGGGATTTGCAACTGGGGTTGCAAATTCACTGAACAACCATGATTCACTGAATGGCCGGTGCAAAAGCAAAAAGGTCATAAAACCCAGTCTAACGCATGACCAGCTTATTTGATGACCGTCACATGTTACAACCATGATGGGCAGGCTCCGTTCTGGGAATTGACGTTGCCAAGGTTGGGAAACACTGCCCTAGTTATTTTAAGGCAGACTGCTCTTGCGTATGGAGGCTCGTTAGAGGTCATTAGATGCTGCCTAGGGGATTCTGGGAGTTGGAAGTCCACCAATTCTCCCAGTTGTCAGACTTGTGAGCTATCCCCTCCCCTAGGCCAGGGTGTTGCTGAAAGCATCATCCAGGGTCCAACCAGGCTGCCAATTCACTTAACAACATGCCAATTCATTTAATGATCAATGCAAAAAAAAAAAAAACAGTCATAAAATCCGATCCAACCCACAACCAGCCTGTTTTATGACCATCTTATGCTATAGCCATGATGGGGAACCTCATTCCGGGAGTTGATGAGTCCAAGGTTGGGAAACATTGCCCTGTTTATTTCAAGACAGACTGCTCTTGAATATGGAAGCTCCTCCAAGGTAGTTAAATGCTGGGCTGGGAATTCTGGGAGTTGAAGTCCACCCAGCTTCCAGTTGCCAAGTTTGGGAAATGCCAGGAGTGGGATCTTATCAGTTTGGGCTGATTGGAGTGAACCGATTGCCCCAAAGATCAGCTGTGAGCAAACCGGTTCGCTCCAACGATCAGCTGTTGTGCCCTGTCTGCCCCTGGTCTAGTTCAGGGATCGCCAACCTTTTGGACCTCAGGGACCACAAAAACTCATCATTTTAAATCCTGCAGACCAGAGACCCTGGGAAAATCCCCCCAAAAGTCTGCAGGAAAATCCCCCACCCCGTTTTCCTACCGATCGATCGTTCTTTATTTGGGATCACAGGATACCGTCTCCAGCTCCGTTCTTGGGGGGAGGAGAGAGAGAAAGAGAGAGAGAGTGAGAGACTTTTGGCTTCATGCAAGGAAAGCAGCAGAAGCAGCAGAAGTCTTTCTTTCTCTCCCGCAAACTCTGCCAGAAATGAGTCTTTGTGAGACTTGTCACGCTGGCACAGCCTCTTGGAGTAGGATGCTTTGCAGAGTCCCAAAGACTCATTTCTGGTGGAGTTTGGGGGAGAGAAAGAAAGACTTTTGCTGCTTTCCTTGCGTGCAGCCAAAAGCAGAAGAAGGAAGAAGCGGAAAGAAGCAGCCCGGTGACCAGACCAGGCATGTGGGGCAAGTGGGGCAAGTTCCCCCCCTCTGCCCTTTCCCCCCTCCCCTCACTACCTCATGTTGTTTGCAATGCAAGTGAAGCAAACCTTGTGTTCCCGTGGGCCATGGGGGCGGTGCAGCCTTGTGTTCCCGCATAGCCTGGATTAATTGCTTTGGGTGGGGGGGCGACATTTCTCTGTGGAGCACCAAAATTTTCTCGGGCACCACCAAGGGTCCCTGGCCCACCGGTTGGCAACCACTGTTCCAGTCTGGGCTTTATATCTGGGTTTTCCAGCTCAGCTAATTCGGCGTTCAGAGTGCGCACGCCACAAAGCGTGTGCGCTTACCGAACTGGTTAGTTATACCAGTTGAATTCCACCCCTGGGAAACGCTACTAGCCTTATTTTTGAGGCTGAATGTTCTTGAATATGGAGGTTCGTTAGAGGTCATTAGATGCTGCCTAGGACAGTGATCCCCAACCTTTTTTACGCCGTGGCCCGGTACCGGCATCAGCTGGGCGCCGCGGCCCGGTACCGGCATCAGCTGGGCGCCGCCATCTTTTTTTGATGAAAAAAGTGTTCCCGGTGAGTTCCCACGAAGAAATCTTTCCCGAAAAAACTTTTTCATCAAAAAAAGATGGCGGCGCCCAGCAAGCCAGCGGCCCGGTAGGAGTTGTTCCGCGGACCGGTGGTTGGGGACCCCTGGCCTAGGAGATTCTGGGAGTTGGATGTCCACCCAGCTTCACACTGACAAGGTTGGGAAATGCGATTCTAATCACTGTTTAAGGCTGAATGGGCTTGAATACGGAGCCTGCTTGGAAGTAATTAAACGCCTCTCTTTGCCTAATCTTCTTTGCATGGCATCTAATTTGCAAATCCCACAAAACAGAGACGGAGTTAGCAAATTGCAAGACGCCAGCGTTCCCGAGTCTGTTGGAGGTGTTGGAAGAGCAATTCCCAGGAATTCTCAGCCAGCATGGCCCCAACGGAGGCAAGTTGGCTTGTGTAAAACCAAGCTGTGGTTTGCTTGGGCTTTAGCCCAAACCACGGGAGGACTTGTTTTATAAACTGTGGTTCATCACTAAGCACATTGCATGAATTTAGCTAATTTTGGCTTGATCCATTAAACACAAATTAAACCATAGCTTAGCATAATGTGTGAATT